GTGGGTGGGGGTCCCCGGCCCAGCAGCCCCCACAGGGACCCCCCTGGGGTGTGTTTGGGACTGATGAGGAGGGTGAGACACTCCACAGCCTCCTGGCCTTGGGGCAGGAGGTCCTGCCCTCAGCAGGGGGTGGACAGGCCTGTGGGACCCCCGAGTGTGTGTCCCTGTGGGCAGCCCCTGCTGTCCCCTCTGCCCTAGGGATCCATACCAGTGGGGAACAGGGGAGAGGGATGGTGGGATGTGTGGGGGCAGGAGGTGGTGGCCTGTTGTCCATCCATATCACCCACCTCACCCCACAGGCCTGCTGGTGCTAAAGGACCTGGGCATCCAGGTGGACAGGTACATCGCCTCCGAAGTGTGTGAGGACTCCATCACCGTCGGCATGGTGAGGCACCAGGGCAAGATCATGTACGTCGGGGACGTCCGCAATGTCACCCAGAAACACGTACGTCTGTCCTGCCCCCCCCAGTCCCCTGTCCCTGCAGGGGCCCCTAGGTGTCCATGTCCCCAGCACAGTCCTTTGTCAGGAGACACTCACAGGGGTCTGCAACTTCCTCACAAGGGGCACCACCAATCTCTGCTCTGTGACCGATGACAGGACCCAAGGGAACAGCATGGAGCTGTGCTAGAGAGGGTTAGGTTGGATATTAGGAGAAGGCTCTTCCCCCAGAGGGTGGTTGGGCACTGGAACAGCTCCCCAGGGCAGTGGTCACAGCCCCAAGCCTGACAGAGCTCGAGAAGCAGTTTGACTATGCTCTCAGGCACTTGTTGGGATCTTTGGGGTACCCTGTGCAGGGCTAGGAGTTGGACTTGATGATCCTTGTGGATGCCTTCCAGCTCAGGATATTCCAGAATTCTGTGATCCTTCTGGGAGCTCGGCTGCCATCGCCCCCTGTGTCCTCCAGGCCATGGCAGGGCCTGGCTCACCAGGGGTCTCCTCTCCCTCTTGCAGATACAGGAGTGGGGTCCCTTCGACCTGGTGATCGGGGGGAGCCCCTGCAACGACCTCTCCATCGTCAACCCGGCCAGGAAGGGGCTCTATGGTAGGAGTCTGGCCATAGGGCTGGGGCTGAACCTCACTGCCAGCCCCCAGGGCTGACAAGGGCCCTCCACCCTGATGCCATCCCCCTTCTCTCTCCCCCCAGAGGGCACTGGTCGCCTCTTCTTCGAGTTCTACCGCCTGCTGCACGAAGCACGGCCCAAGGAGGGCGATGACAGGCCCTTCTTCTGGCTCTTTGAGAACGTGGTGGCAATGGGGGTGAGCGACAAGAGGGACATCTCACGCTTCCTGGAGGTCAGTGCCTGCCTAGGGTCACCCCCTCCAGCCCTTCCAGGGACCCCCAGGT